GTATTTTTTTTTAGGGAAGGCTCTACAGGGTGTTCAGGGTCTCACTGGTAGATTGGACTCATAGTGATCCACCTGTTTATACCCTCCCAAGAGCTGGGATTACAGTCTTCTAAATATAGATGATACAATATGAGTAAATCATAATTCTGTCTTTCATTTACTGAAACACAGGAAAAAAACCTTTTATAAAGCCCTTTCTCTAATTACTTAAGTGGTGCATTGGATTAAAATGATCTGGGGCTGGGAATTTATCTCACATGCATGAGTTCTTGGATTTGATCCTCAGTACTGCTAAAAATGTGATTATAAAGCAAAAAATTATATAATCTCTTATTCTTCCTAATTCTACACATTTGACCTGTCTCCATAAGTTGTCTTGCTTAGCTGACAAATTTTCAAAGATATGCTTCTGACTGAATTTGCAGAGATTATTAAAATATTTTTTAAAAGATGTATTTGGTACAGGGTCTCACTACGTAGCTCGGACTCATATTGATCCTCCTGCTTTCAGCCTCCTCAGCACTGATCCCTGGTTGGGGATTGAACCCTGGCCCCTGAGATTGCCTAAGTAGGCGCTAAATTCCCTGAGCTATTCCGCCGGCACTAGAATATTTTATTACTTAGTTTTATCTATGTGACCTAGCACGTCATGTTTCATGGCCACTTTATTTCTTCCCTCATTGGTTAAATCATCAATTCTTTCAAGTAGTAACTTTTAAGGCAACCACTCATCCATAGTGGAGATCATTCAAAACACATTCATTTTTGTACATTTTAACATATATGAGTAAGTTGAAATGCATAAATAGTTTGGAAAATTTAAGGTGCAAATTTATTCTTACTTTGAACAAGGTGACTGCAATGCAAAAAAATATCCAAATGGCACACTGTCATCTTGCAATTTGAAAACAAACTGACAAAAGAAATTCACTGTGTAATGCTGATTTCTGACATATGAGCAAAAGACAGTTAGCAAGGATATAAATAAAGGACACAAGAGTAATTATTATAGATTTCTACAAATCAATCATAAATGAATCTGCCTTAAGTTGACAATTGCCATAACATTAAAAATATATATTTGTATATATATGTACATACTTGACAAATATTTCAATTTCTCAGTTTTGTTATGGTCATAATTTCAAAGACTGACTTTTTCATAATGTATGCTGGGAGGCCATGTTATTAAAAGTTTAACGTCTTAAAAAAATAAAAAGTAAAAGTTTAACGTCTTAATCAAATTGCTAACCCATGAAGACACTTCAAGTTAATGTCATTTTAAAGTTATTTAGCTTCTGTGCTTATAAAATGAGCTATATTAATGTGTATATAACATAACAGTGAAAATTAAGTCAAATAGAACGATGCCTATCACATAGGAAATATTTGCAGTAGATATCTATTGTTAAAACAGTAACTGCAATACTTTCACTCTATATTTTGAGTTGGAACAATTAAGAGTTATAAGCTGCTATAAAAGTTATAGGGACATAATGTGAGGAATAAGGATACAGTTTTATGAGATCTCGACAGAAATTATAAATGAAAATAAAAATTTTGGTAAAGTTAGAAGTACTCTGAGAAAAGATTAACACATTTGATTAACACTTACACGTTTAGCCACATGGTGTCGCTGTCCACCACAAGGTTTCGCTCCGCAAGACAACTGCTGCGTATATTACGTATTCACATAGTGCCTTTCTTCATCATCTGAAATACGGTAACGGTGAGGGATTTAAGGGATGAAGAATAAGGAAATCAAACTATTTTCTAATTTTGGGTTGATGTAAGAGCCACTAAATATTTGGAAAAGACTTGCAATGGTGTTCTCCTGGAGAGAAGATCCTGGAGTTGAGCGCTTGCTGTTCTTGCTTCTGCTCCTCGCAGCCTGGGAGGCAGGGAGCGGCCAGCTGCACTACTCGGTCCCCGAGGAGGCCAAACACGGCACCTTCGTGGGCCGCATCGCGCAGGACCTGGGGCTAGAGCTGGCGGAGCTGGTGCCGCGCCTGTTCCGGGTGGCGTCCAAGGAGCGCGGGGACCTTCTGGAGGTAAATCTGCAGAATGGCATTTTGTTTGTGAATTCTCGGATCGACCGGGAGGAGCTGTGTGGGCGGAGCGCGGAGTGCAGTATCCACCTGGAGGTGATAGTGGACAGACCGCTGCGGGTTTTCCACGTGGAGGTGGAGGTGAAGGACATTAACGACAACCCGCCTGTGTTCCCAGTGACACAAAAGAATTTGTTTATTCCTGAAACCAGAGCTCTTGACTCTCGTTTTGCACTAGAGGGCGCATCGGATGCAGATATAGGAACAAATTCTTTGTTGACTTACAGTCTTGACTCTAGTGAATATTTTACTTTGGAGGTTAAAAGAAACGATGAGGATGTTAAATCCCTAGGACTTGTGTTGAAAAAACTCCTAAACCGAGAGGACAGTTCTGAACATCATTTACTAATTACAGCAGTTGATGGTGGGAAACCAGAGCTCACCGGTACTATGCAAGTGAAGATCACTGTCCTAGATGTAAATGACAACGCGCCAACGTTTGAAAGGACGCTGTACAAAGTTAAGTTATTTGAAAATGTACCCAATGGTACCTTAGTCGTGGTAGTTAACGCCTCTGATCCGGATGAAGGAGTAAATAAGGACATTATATATTCTTTCAATACAGACACGTCAGCAGAGATTATGTCAAAATTCCACTTAGATGCGGTCAATGGATACATCACTGTAAATGACAATATAGATTTTGAGAAAACTAAGTCATATGAAATTCAGGTAGAAGCAACGGATAAAGGAATTCCACCAATGACAGATCACTGCACTGTTCTAGTGGAAATTCTGGACATCAATGATAATGTACCGGAGCTGGTTATCAAATCACTATCATTACCTGTATTAGAAAACTCTGCACTTGGCACCGTCATTGCCCTGATCAGCGTGTCTGATCGTGACTCTAGTGTTAACGGACAGGTGACCTGCTCAGTGACACCGCATGCCCCATTCAAGCTGATTTCCACCTTTAAGAATTACTACTCGCTGGTGCTGGACAGCGCTCTCGATCGTGAGAGAACTTCAGAATATGAGTTGGTAGTAACTGCGCGGGATGGAGGCTCACCTTCCTTGTGGGCCACCGCCACTGTGTCCGTGGAGGTGGCTGACGTGAATGACAACGCGCCTGTGTTCGCGCAACCCGAGTACACGGTGTTCGTGAAGGAGAACAACCCGCCGGGCTCCCACATCTTCACGGTGTGCGCGCGCGACGCGGACGCGCAGGAGAACGCGCTGGTGTCCTACTCGCTGGTGGAGCGGCGCGTGGGCGAGCGCGCGCTGTCGAGCTACGTGTCTGTGCACGCGGAGAGCGGCAAGGTGTTCGCGCTGCAGCCGCTGGACCACGAGGAGCTGGAGCTGCTGCAGTTCCAGGTGAGTGCGCGGGATTCTGGAGTGCCTGCCCTGGGGAGCAACGTGACTCTGCAGGTGTTTGTGCTGGATGAAAATGACAATGCGCCCGCGCTGCTGGGCTTTGGGGCAGGTGGTGCAAGCAACACGGTGAGCGAGCTGGTGTCGCGGTCAGTGGGCACTGGCCACGTGGTGACGAAGGTGCGCGCAGTGGATGCTGACTCTGGATACAATGCGTGGCTGTCGTATGAGCTGCTCCCTGGATCCAGCAGTGGGCGCAGCCTGTTTCGTGTGGGACTGTACACTGGCGAAATCAGCACGACGCGCACCCTCAATGAGGAAGATGCACCTCGCCAGCGCCTGTTGGTGCTGGTGAAGGACCACGGTGAGCCCCCGCTAACAGCCACAGCCACTGTCCTCCTGTCTCTGGTGGAGAGCGGCCAGCCTCCAAAAATCTCTTCGCGAGCGCTAGTGGGCGCAGTGAGCCCAGAGGAGACTCTGGTAAATGTAAACGTGTACTTGATCATCGCTATCTGCGCGGTATCCAGCCTGTTGGTGCTCACGCTGTTGCTGTACACTGCGTTGCGCTGCTCGGTGGTGCCCAGTAAAGGCGCCTGCGGGCCTGGGAAGCCCACGCTGGTATGCTCGAGCGCTGTAGGGAGCTGGTCGTACTCGCAGCAGCAACAGCAGAGGATTTCCTCGGGAGAGGGATTGCCCAAGACAGACCTGATGGCTTTTAGCCCCAGCCTTCCACCCTGTCCATCACTTAACCAGGACAGAGAGGACCAACAGGGAGTGGATCTTTCCACCACAGTGAGTAATATTTCTTTGTTCCCCAGTAGTAGTTTTTTGCATTTTGTTCTTCAATATTTCTGGTGCTTTAGATATTTGTAAAAAGTTTTGTTACACATACTCTCCATGATTCATGTTTTCCATTTTCAGAGCTTGTGATAAAAGTGATGAGAACTTGTTACTCAATTTTGAACAGAATCAATTTTGAACATTTGAGCATCATCAGGTGCGATACTCACTTGTAATTTTTTTGATAACTGCAGTAATATTATTTTATTGCTGTATGTATAGACACAAATAGAAATATTTTTTTCCTTGAGTGAACTGCCCCAGAGAATTTGACTCCACTTGTGGTCAAATAATCTATTGGTAAAGCTTCAGTATGTTTTGCCTCTTTTGATTGGAAATTCCTGCAGATGTTGGGAGAAGTTTTACTACTATAAGCCAAATTAAATGCTAACAATTTACTTTAATTTTACAGTTTCCATTTCAATATTAGTTTACCATCCCTGTTGTATTTTATAGAGCCTCTTTTAGTCTCCTACTTATTTTTTGAGTTTCAGTTCTTCTTTGCCTCTCATATGATTTTCTTTTGTCATTATGCTTTTTTTGGGAAGACTGTTAGTGTTGCTAGATTCCTCCAATGAACAAAAAACTAAAATGGTAATTTTGTTTTCAAAGTTGCATCTTTATTTACATTTTCTCATTAAATTCTTAGCAATAGCTAAAATATCAATATGAAGTGAAAACTAAGTACTTCTGTAGTTAATTTATTTTTT